GACTATACTCGGGAGTTTGAAGAACTTTTGATGAGATGTGATCTTCACGAAAATGATTCACAAACATTGGTACGTTACCTATTTGGATTAAACACTCAAATAGCTTTGTATTTATCTTCATTTGATTGTATTTCCCCTTCCCTTCCCTTGTATATATTTCGGCCATGAGCCATTGTAAAACCAGCAGATTGTATTGAATGAAAAACTTTGTGTACTCTTTTGAGTATTCTCTTAAAATAGTGTGATGCTATTTTAACCAAATTTCCTAATGAAATATCTCTAAAGTTGGCTACTTTTGAGTGTGTGTTAGGAGTCTATTTTATACATTAGTAGTGATTATTATTGTGTGAAATAGATAACAGCCCCAAATATAGTAAGAGTGTGTTTATCTCTTATTTATTATTTGGTTTATCCATCCTAGTTCTCTGTCCATTTCGTTCCTCTCCATTTTCTCTTCCTAAGCCACATTCTATTCTATCTTCATAAATCAAAATACCAAAAAGAACTCCTTCATCACCCCCATATTTACTCAGCCATTTCCAACAATCGATTATCATAAAAGTGATAATCGACTATCGGGCATCTCTGAACATTCATGGTTTGGAAATCATATCTTGTTAATCGATTACCAGTTAACGATCATCGACTATCACGCGTTTCAGAACTTTGGAGTTCAAAGTTGTTTCCTTCTTGCTTCCATTTCCTCCGTAAACCCGCCATCAAATTGATTACTCGTTAAGATCCTGGGTCTCGGGTACAACATTTGGTATCAAAGCTATATTCGAAGACTTCCTTAAGTCTCGACGATCACCTTGTGGACCGACTTCACAAACGTACCCAAAAGAAGGTTGCTGAAAATTTTTCCAGAAACTTTCAGCTCCAAAGAATTGAGCACGGAGGAAGCTACACAACAGATTTGGAAGTGAAATTTTCCAGTACGAAATTTTGTCATTTTTTCTAGGCGTGGCCGCTGATTTCACTCAATTCCGAGTTGTGGTTAGTGAGATACGCCCTCCCAAAGTTGATAACAGTATCCTGGACGAATTCTATCTACCTTGCTGAATTTGTCTCCAAAGAGGTAGCAAACGTTCTTTAATTGCTCCAAATTTTTGATATGTCTTTATGGACGTGAATATCTAGCTATGAGAGTTGGAATTACCTAATTCCAATCTCCGGTTTGTGAGATATGGTCTCTAAAAGACACCTCAGAAATCTGGAAATTGTCCTTGCAAATGGAGCAATATTGCAATGGGCTACTCGGCGATGTTTCATGTGTGGTGGCTGTGGTCATGGGCACTGAGAATGTTCAAATAAGTATGCCATACCATATGAAGAGTGGGCCATGTTTCTTGTTTCCTTCTTGCTTCCATTTCCGCCGTAAACCCGCCATCAAATTGATTACTCGTTAAGACCCCGGGTCTCGGGTTCAACACAAAGTATTCAACTTGGGCCTTCAAGGCTGCGTTGGAGGCAACAAGCTCTTCATGGGACATGGGTTGGGATTCATTTGACATGGTTGAAGTGGGAAAAAGGTGAGAAGGGCAGTTTAGTTTGGCTGTGGGGTTTAGGGAGAGAGGAAGGGAGTTTTGAGCTAAAAAATGCTTACTTCTTGGTAGGGATGGTGAATGGCCCTTGGGGATGTTCAACACTTAGCTTTGATACCAAATGTTATACCTGAGCTCCGGGATTAGGCTTTTAGCATAAGAACAAAGCTTCTTAAATTGCAGAAGAAAGAGATAATAAATTATTAAGGCATGATAATCGACTAACAAGGGGTTCAAATTTTCGAGAAGATTATTGAGAGTTCAGGGAGGGGGAAAGTCGATTATCACTTAAGCAATAATCGATTGTGGGATTGTGTGGTTTAGGCCAAGAAAGTTTAGAAAGGCAGGATAGTCGATTATCAATAGTTAATAATCGATTATTTTGGTTTTCGGATTCTACCAAGGAAGTTCAGGGGTGTCGGATAGTCGATTATCAGTGAAGGATAATTGATTAGCAGGGTTACTTGAGGTTTCAATATGGAAGGAATATGGCTGGGGTGGGTAGGGAAGTTATGGGAAGGAATGATAGGGTGCTTTCTGGCTTAAGGGACGAAAAGAAGGGGGTTTAGAGTGAGAAATGGAGGGATATAGGGTGGGAGAAAATCAGGGATAATGATGTACCCCTGGGCGGCTCCACTAAAATCCCAACCTCTCCCAAAATATCCAAAAGTCTTTTATCTTCATTTCATAATCAAAATAAAGTCTTTACCCTCCTTTTTAACCTTGGACGAAAAATGAGACCAAAGAAGACAAAATAAAACCTTTGTTTCTTGTTTTTGCCTTTTCAAATCCTTATACAACAAAACCACAAAATATTCTCCTCTTTCTTTCCTAATCTTGATCCTGAAAGCATGAATAATCGATTATACATAACTGATAGTCGACTATTCTATCCCCCTGATTCCTCATCACAAACCAGCAACCTCCAACAATCGATTATCTCCAAACTGATAATCGATTATCTGTATTCTCAGAAAATACCCAGTTTTGTGCAAGTGTTGTTAATCGATTGATCATGCTTTTCAATCGACTAATGGGTATCTCTGAACATTCCTGGTTTGGAAACAAAATCTTATTAATCGATTATCTAAAGATGCTAATCGAATATTTAGAAATCTCTGAACTTCGAAACCCAAAGTTGTTCAGTTCCTATTTTCCTTTCCTAAGATTGGGTATAAGGCTAAAATTATTTCTTGATTTTCAACAAAGAATAAAGCCTTTTCTTCCACAAAACAAAAGCATGATCACTTTTGAAACAAAGGAACAAAAATCACAAACAAAGTTATTGAATGAATAGTGCTGTTTTGGCATTTTATTAACAAAAATCTAAAGCTTGGTTTCCCTTTGTTTTCTTCCTTATATGCACGAAATTTCTCCCTAAATAAACCCAAGGAAGATCAGCCCAAAATCGGGAGAAGCATCTTGGAAAATCAGCTCACATGGATGGATATTAATCTTTGATTTTTAGGAAAGAAGTAGGAAGTTTCCTTTATTGTATTTTTCTTTATTTGTTGTTGTACTTCCCCTCCATTGTGGCCTATATATACACAGCCATATGGCCATTGTAAGAGAGCCATGGATTGAATAAAAACTTCTTTGTTTTACTCTTTGAGTAATTCTTTAAAATAGTGCGATGCTATTTTAACCAAATTTCCTAATGAAATATCTCTAAAGTTGGCTACTTTTGAGTGCGTGTTAGGAGTCTAATTTTATACATTAGTAGTGATTATTAATGTGTAAAAGAAGATAAAAGCCCCAAGTTAAGATAAGAGTGTGTCATATCTCTTAACACCAACTTGGTTTATCCCTTCACTTTATTTCTGCCCATTTCATTCCTCACCATTTCTTCTTCTTAAACTTATTCTTTTCTCTCGTTAAAACACCAAAAAGAACTCTTTCCCACACTCCATATTTCATCCATTCAGTTCTATCATCCATTTCCTTCCGCAAATTCGTTGCAAAATAGCTACTCGATAAGACCCCGGGTCTCGGGTACAACATCTGGTATCAAAGCTCAACTTCGAAGACTTTCTCAAGTCTCGACGATTACCGGAGGTCCAGCTTCACCCACGTTGCACATAAGCAAGACTGCTGAAATTGCTCCTGAAAATTTCAGCCCCAAAGCAGTGATCACGGAGGAATGTGCAAAAGTTATTTCAACGTGAAACTTTCCAGTCTGAAAGTTTAAGCTTTTATCTACGTCTGGCCGATGATTTCATTCAATTCGGAGTTGCGGTTAGTGAGATACACCCTTCCAAAGTTGACAATGCAGTCCGGCCCGAATTCTGTCTAGCTTGCTTCTTTTGTCTCCAAAGAGGTAGCAAACGTTCTTTAATGGCTCCAAATTTTTGATATGTCTTTATGGACGTCAATATCTTGCTTTGAGAGTTAGAATTACCTAATTCCAATCTTTGGTTTGTGAGATATGGTCTCTAAAAGACACCTCAGAAATCTGGAAATTATCCTTGCAAATGGAGCAATATTGCAATGGGCTACTCGGCGATGTTTCATGTGCGGTGGCTGTGGTCATGGCCATTGGGAATGTTCAAATAAGTATGCCATACCATATGAAGAGTGGGTCATGATTCATGAAGAGGAAAAGAAAAGCTCATGTGACCAATTTGTCAATGAGGAAGACGTCTTTGTTATTTCTGCCAAAGATGAAGATGACGTCTTCGTAGAAGAACCGGCTTCTAATGCTCAGGAAGAATCACAATATAATGATTCTTTCCTTATTCATGATGACTTCGTTGATGAGGTAGTTATAGAGAAAGCCACACCAGAAGTTATATATTCTATGGAAGTGATTTCCATAGAGTATTATCCTCTTTTCAATGAAGGAAAATCTTCTCTCCTCTTTGAGGAATGTTTGAAGCAGGTTTTTACAGGGAATGGCATCATGTTCCGGAAATTACACAACGAGGTGCCCACTAATTCTGGAAGGAACCTCATTATTGGTGGTTCATTGAATTTCCCATTTGATCAGGGAATTCTTTTATGAAATACCAATCAGACACGGTGGTGCGAAAGTTTGAGGACAAACTTTCTTCGAAGAAGGGGAGTGTGATGTACCCCTGGGCGGCTCCACTAAAATCC